TAAACTGAGGGGCAGAGTGGGCAAATGCCCATTAGACATTTAATAATGAAACAAATTTCTAATAATAAATATCTTTCATATAATTTTTTTAATTTTTAAGGTATCTAAAATTTCATCGAATTTTTCATCATTTGATGAAGAAAGATAATGGTATAATTTCAGTCGTTAAAACTATTTTTACTCTAGATATTTTTTAATTCGAATATTTCTTTTCACATAAGCGTTTTCTTTTAATGAGATTCCCCATTTGTAGGGATATACTAATGTTATCAATAGCCTCTTGATTAATTATATGAGGGTGAGAATCAATATCTACATTGTCATTTGAGTATAAGGAATGTTTGCTAATTTTTGTTAGCATGAAGAACATATTAACATATCTAAATTGAATGGTAATTTTTTTGGGTCCCAGGGTGGAATCTTTCTTAGATTCTAGCGATAATAAGCATGTCTCTGTAGATTAAATGGGTTGAAACATTTTAATATTTGGTACGTCCATCTCTGATATAGAATAAAATTTTAATTGATCTGCACCTAGAATATATGTTTTTGCACTCTCCAAAATGTTATTGGTAGACAAACGATAAAATAATAAGCTGCAGATGGGTTGAATTATTTAAAATTAATCTGAACGGACAAGTTAAAAATATTACGCAGAAAGAGAGATCGTTTTAAACAGTTTATTTTGTAAAATATAACCGATAATATTATGCCTAATAAAATATTCGATTTTACTGCATCTGTTATACATTATCGAGCTAATAAGTCATTTGCTATAGTAACAAAGTAGAGATCTAGTCGCCAAGGTTTTGATATCGTATATATATTTATAAAAGGTGTCTAAATAAAAAGCAAAAAAATGATTTTGAAAACAAACTCCTTTTTTTGCTTAAAAATACAGGTAAAGCAAGATAGGTAAACCAGAAGTTAAAGAGTCAAATTGGAGCCAAATTTTATTATTTTTTTAATAGCCCTTTAGAGATTTTTTTTACCTACAATATGATATATTATACATTTTTTTACTATAAATAGTTTTTGAGATATAGGTGTTTTAAAAATTTTACAGATTTAAAGTGGCTCTTTTTTGCACTTTTGAACCTCTATATCTCGGGAAACAGGCGTGCTAGCGAGCTAAAATAAACGGATTACTCATTTATATACCAATTTAAATAATTCCAGAAATTTTTAACAATTTTAAAAGAGGTCGGCCGAAAATGTGCCCTTTTTAATCGATTTGACATGGACTGGCCCATATATTTTTAGAATATTTAAGGCTTCTATCAGAATTGTGAACAAACATTATAACAATTTAATATATTGATACACTTATAACAATAAGATGTTTATTATAAAAATCGAGGGGGCAGGGGGTTACTGCTTAAAACCTAATCACACTGTGATGTATATTGCCGACATTTTTTGGATGAACCAAGCTCTTAGGATGTTCAGACAAACATTGACTTCTTTGTTTTTCAGGATAATTTTTTATCCCACAAAATTAATTTAGCTAGCTCACTATTTTACAAAGAAATTTATATTTCGTTACTTAAATACAGGGATGCTAACAGGACAAAAATTTTAGCTGGATTTGGCTCGAATCCTTTAACAACTCTGCTAATCAGCAAGGACAGGGTAGCACAAAAAATTGTATTCCTGTTAGAGATCTGTAAAACACTGCCCGACCCAGGTCTATTTTCTATATAATTTTGGTTCGGGCTGGTTCTAATTGTTTTTTAAAGAGTTTCGAGCCTGGTATTAATTTATATATCAATACATTTAAATTGATCTATTCTTAAAGATGACAAAAAAAATTATTTTTCATCACAAAATATAAATTTACAACATAGTTTCTTTTTATTAATTAAACATGACGTTTAATCTTTATTAATTGTTTGTCCATATTTAAATTCAATATTTATAAAATTAAAATAAAATCTTACTTTGTTTAGTTTACCCCTTTTTATTGTATATTTAATAATAATACTCGTTCACTGTAATCGGAAATTATGAGGGGGAAAATTTGTTTTAAAAAATAATAAATATACATATTGTTCCTAAAAGAAAAGTAAAAGAAAAATATATATATATTTTATTTATTTATTTTTAATTATTTATTTTTAAAAAAGGTAAGAAAAGTCACTGAACTCGGGGAAATTTAAATATTATTTTTTATTAAAAAATAATAAATATGCTATGTGAAAATTTTAAAATTCTTTAATTTTGCATTAAAATTGAAGAAGGTGTGTGCTATATTAGAAAGAAATATTAGGACTATAATTTTTTTTTGTGAAAATTTTCATAATTCTTTATATATTAAAAATATAGATTATTTAAAATTTTTAAAAAGACATGTAATATATTGGATGCTACTAAGTTAGGATTTGCGAACCCGGGTAAAATTTTACCGGGTTAGCATCCCTGTGTTTAAGTAACGAAATATAAAATTTCTTTGTAAAATAGTAAGCTAGCTAAATTAATTCTGTGGGATAAAAAATTATCCCGGAAAAAAAAATCAAAATATTTGTTTGAACATATTAGAGCTCTGGTTCATCCAAAAAAGTAGGTAATATACATCACAGTATGAATAGGCTTTAAGCAGTAACCCCCCCCCCCCTGCTCTTGTTGGTATCGGTATATTATATTGTTATTATTTATAATTCTGATAAAAGCCTTAAATATTTTAAACAATATATTAAATATTTTAGACTAAATTTAATCTAACCCCGATCATCCCCATTCCTAATAATCTACTCGTTTTTTAGTCGACTCAAGATAACCCGTATTCACGACTCAAGTTGAAAGTCTAAAGCAAAAAAATTTACAAAACAAAACAGATGTTTTAATAATTAATAATAACTAATTTTAAATTTTAATCCTCTAGTCGACAAGTTCATAGAACTCTTCGTCCTCTAGTTGACTCAAGTATATAATTCTTTTCACGACTCAGTTGAAAGTCTAAAGTAAAAAAATGTAAATAAGAAAACAAATATCTTAATTAATAAAAACTAATTTGAAATATTCGCTAGTCAACTCATGTTCATAGAACCATTTGTCCTCTAATCGAATCAAGTTCATAGAACTATTCGCCCTCTAGCCGACTCAAGTATATAATTCGTATTCACGACTCAAGTTGGAAGTCTAAAATAAAAAAATATAAAAAACAGAACAAATATCTTATACTAGTTAGTTATATTCGTCCTCTAAACGAGTCAAGTTGACAACTCATCAAGAATGTGTGCAAAAGTTCTATTTTATAATAGCCCTCAATTGATTCGATATTTATATTAGAACGATTCGTTTGTCTTGGTGCAAGCCGAGCCTTGCGGATCTCAAAATCATATAATTTTAGCTTTCTCCTCTACATTCACAAAAATTTTATGAAATTGATCAATATTATTTTTTAATTTTTGAAGTTGCAATATAATTATATTGGCGATTCTAATAGTCTCTGCCAAATCTATATTATTCTTTTGAAAAATATTTCATAAAATTGTTGTTCAATTAAATAACTTATTTATACATTCCAATGCAAAAAAGAAAATTGGTTATCTTATGAATAAGGTATCAGCTTCAGATATAATATTTGGTTCAGACCATTCCGATATTTCTCCAAAAGCACTCAAAATTGGCTCTTCAAGATCCAAAAATGAGGTAACCGCTTGATGTCATATACTCTACCTGGTTAGACACGCCTTTTACAGTTTCTTTCTTCTTATTAATTATGTTAAAAAGCTGATTTAATGATTTTTAAAACGGCCCAAATAAGATTTAGACAAAATAATGTTATATAAGCCTCAAGATTTGGCAAATAGATGTAGAAGCCTTTCTGCTATCTATAAATATAATCTCCAGGCTTGCATAATATTATTTTGATAATCATAGGACCGTTTTTAAATCGACCCTAATCGGGCTCAACACTACTTCTTATAGCACACGAAATCTCAGAAATAATTATATTAAGCAAACTTTGTCTCTTTGGATATCTGAACATTACCTACACCACTTTAGAAATTTACCTACATACATATTAGTAGAAATAAATTAAGTAGAATTATATTTAAGCAATTTCTTATACAAGGCAGAAAACAGGAATCAGATATGGTTACGTTAAGTGAATCTAGGTGGGGGGATATCCTCCCCTTTCCTACCCCTGCTGGCTACATGTATGATTCTTCCCAATAGACATTTACCCCTATCATGTTCACTTTAAAAAAAATATTACTCGTAAAATACAAACATTTGAACTTAAGGAATTATTATTCCTTAGGCAAGACACAGAATATACTAAAATTAATTTTTAACTTTTAAGATACACAATTATTTGATTTTTTCTTTTTTTAAAATTGGTATATATATATTTATTTGAATCATTAATTATTTTTTTAGTTTCATTTAGTTGTTTTCCAAGCCAGAACCTGGGCACTTTATCCCCAGAAGACTACAATCTCAATTAATCTCTGTCTTATAGCCACCTCACATATCTTCAGTTTATGTAAGATCCATGTCGATAGTAAATGACACCATTCTTTACATTACAGATACAAATTAACAACTTAAACCAAGGCACTACTATCAGCCAACATACCCCCTCTTAAAACCAGTTGCTAAAATCTCTTATAATAAAAGTTCAGACGGTGTCACTAGTCGAAAGGCAAATCTTTGGTATAATATTATACCTGTATAGATGCGTTTGTAAAATCGAGCACCATCCATTGCGGCTGTCGAATCATCTAAACACAGCAAATATTCACAATTAGAAAACATATTTTTTTTACCTTTCGTTATTACCATCTTAGGGATCGGCGAAGATCCTTTTAAAAACTTAAGGATAAAAACTAACAATAATCGGAGATCCCAAAGATAATTTATACCTTAGACAAAGAATATATTTCAATGTTAAATATTAAATGAAAATCTTAATAATTTTTTTTTTAAAAAGCAACTTTTGAAAATACAAATGCATAAATAATATTCGAATACGTCTTATTATATTACATATTGTTTACTGTAAAATAAAATATTTACCATAACTCAGATTTAATTATAATTTATAATTACACTTATTTATATAATATAGGAAATTTAATTATATAAAACAATTATATAATTCAACAAAGATTTTGTTTAAACCACCCCATATCAAACAATTGAGTCCTACATCTCAATATTGCTTATTACAGCGTGAGTAAATTCTTTGGTGCGAGCATATCCACCCATATCTCTAGTTCGAATCTTATCATTATAAATTAATATTTATTAATAATTATGTATTTGAAAGTCAAAAATGTACCTTTCCATCTTTTATGACTTTAAACAAGGCATCTTTTATCATTTTCTGATATTTAGGCAATTGCAAATATCCCAACATGTTAGATGCCGACCATAACATTGCTGTTGGATTTGCTATATGTTTTCCAACTGCTTCCGCAAATGGATGCCTAGCCCCCTTTATTTTATAAATGAATTGATAAATAATTATAGTATGCTTTAATAGCTTTTAAAAAGGTTTATTAGCTATAAATGGACCAATTCATTAATGATTTTTAAGCTTAGTTATTTAAAACTAAATAACCATCAAAAATTATTTATCAGAGTGCCTGAATCGTCAGCAACTCTTTTAATTAATGTCAGCTCAGTAAAAATAATATTAAAAATTCTGTATAGAAGTTCTCCTAAATTAAAATAGCTAAACAACTAACAGTAAATTAAAATACTGTCAATAACTGTGATATTCACTTAAACATTATTAAAATGAATTATTATTATATTTAATGATAAACAAATATAAAATAATAAAATCTCAAAATGAATCTTTTCAATATTTATATAAAATGGTCAAAAAAAGGTAACTGTTTCAAAGAGTGCGCAATGATTTGAATGACTCTGGCCTGGTACGACTCCAGCCCCTCCAACTAATCCAGCAGCTAAATTGTCAACAATATTTCCATAAAGATTTGGCATAACCATAACATCGAATTGCCATGGATTCCACACTAATTGCATGCAACAATTATCGACTATTGTATCTGTAAACTTTATACTAGGATATAATTCTGCTATTTCTCTGCAACAATTTAAGAACAAACCGTCTCCTATTATAGTTTATGTTTAATAACATATATTGGTTAACGCTAATCCACAATGCTTTAATTCAATTAATTTTGAAATATTACATTAATTTCTAAAATTGATTCTTTAATAATAAAGAGGCTCTTTGATTTAATTTAATAAGCTTTTGTCTAAATGTTTACAAGCAGGCTTGTCAAAAATGTATTCGATCCAAAATTTAAGAAAACAAATTATAATAATATATTTAAAAATTGACTAAAAATAAATTTCGATTGTTCGTATTTTCCCTAAAACTAAATGAAAACAATATTTATAAATTGTATATACAATCAAAACGAGAAGAAATAGTAAGGCGCCTCTAAATCTGGCAAGAGTACATTTTCGGTAGACAATAAGTGAACCCTATCCTCAAATGTATGCAATATATCCATATAAATAATAATTTGAAAGGAAAATAAGTAAAAGTTAATTTTTTTAAAAAATGACTATAATTCAAAATTTTTAGAAAAAAGCATCTCTACATGAAAAAAAAACTTAGAATTAAATTAATGTAGAAAAAACCTGGCTACGCCATACCAAAGACTATTAAAAAAAGACAGGCCCTGATCACGGACCGTTGAAAAGAAAAGATCTTTTTTTAAATTTCGAAAAAAAATTCCTATGCTTAAGCGGGTTCATAATTTTATTTTGAAATATCATAAATATAGATGATAAAATAATTATTACTGATGATATAATTTTAATTTTAAATAATAAATGCTGATATCCTTTCAAAAGGGTGCTAGAAATTGAAACAAAAGAATTTAATGGGGAGGGCATATCTATTCCGTTTGTGTAAAAGTTCATAGACTAGAAAGATGTATCTTTTTGAACAATATTCTCTGATTTAGAAAAAATATTTATTCACAATTAAATGTGTATTTGTTTTTTTTTATTTAATTAGGAAAATGTCAATGGAAACACTTCTAGAAAAGAAATAACAAATAAAACATAAATAATAATAATTTATAAATGCTAAACGCTTTTACGGTCAACATATTAAATAAATAAAAATATTTATAAAACTAGTTTAAATCGAGATCCAGAACTGATAAATGAACCAGTCAAGGTTAAGGAATATAATAGATTGATCCAGTTTTGGTCCAAGATTGTAAGGACCGATACAATTTTAACTAAAATTATATCTTGTTGATTCATAAGTATCCGATTATGCATTGCAAAGGATGACTAGCTATAAGACCAAGTGGGCTTTTTTCCCACGAGGCCCTGAGAAAATGTCGATTTTTGAGATATCATAAAAATAAAATTAAAAAGGAGGCCGATCAAAAAAATATATATTATTTATATGTTAAAAGTTATTTTTATTAAATTTCTTTTTCTTTGACTCAGGGATCAATCTATAAATAAGGCGATTAAATGTAAATCTCAATTATATATAGCCATTTTGTAACTTTCTCAATTTATGTGTTGTAGCCACTTTGGGAATGAATATTTCTTCTGGTAGGAATATTTCTCACCTTCTATATTTATTGTGGATCTATGATTGGAAATGCACATGAAAAACAATATCGTCCTGGTCAATTGATTCATTCCGAGAGATAAAGAAAAGTCAATTGCGAATTAATCTAATCGCCAAGATCGTTGCGACAACTGGATGTACTGATTCATACATAGTCGGTCTATAATTGGAGTGCTTCGCTTGCAAAATTGTAATACTCAAATATAGACATTAATCTAACATGACTGAAAATTAATATTTTTAAATCTAGTTTTTATTTTTTACCTCCTAACACTGCTTACCCGCTTAGATATGGGAGTTTAAGGAGGGAAAAATGGTACATTTTTGACAAAACGCACCTCATTTATTTTCAAAATCTCGAGAAATAATTATGTTAGAGCAATCATTTAAATTTTAAAATATAGCTTAATAATCTTTAATATGACATAGATAAATATGATAGAAATCTAGTTAATATAAGATAGGATGCATAAAACCGGAAATAGCCATAGAAAAAGGTAATATTGTGAAATAACATAGCGTTGAATATAAATAAAAAGAGAAAATGGCGGGTGCTAAAAAAAATATTTCAATATGTGGTTGTGATATAAAGTTGATAAAACAAACTATAAATAAGGTTCAAGGGATGACATACTATAAAAACCTAGAAAATTTAATGCCAATTATAATTGTGTATTAGGAGAAGAGATTGTTTGAATTCAAGGAAAGTTCCTTTGTATTTTTTAAAAAGAAGAAAAGATTTGGGAAATAAAGAAAAAGTGGGTGTATTTGGCAAAGAAATGGAGTGAATCGGGAATTATTAGCTATAAAAATTAAAAATATATCTCAAAAATCTGGGCTGGGCCTGAAAATGACATCTCTGCAGGTCTCTGATGTAAATTAATGTTACTTCCTTTTTTTCGTAAAAATTTTAAATTTTAATAAACTTATGTTAAAATTTACTTTTTCCGTTAAAGTTAATAATTTTATTTTGATATTTAGGTCATAGCCTTAAAATAATAAATTGATTAATTCAAGATTGAATGTTTTTTATTAAAAAAGAGGTGAAAAGAAAAGATCTTGATTTATGATGTGAAATTTTCAAATTAACAATTTTTTGACGTTTTTATAAGTATGTTTGTTGTCATTAAATAATCAAAATTTTGCTGAATCTAAAAAAGAAAAAAGGGAGAATGTAATAGTTAACTAAGTGGGAAGAAATTTATAATATAGAAATGAGAGTGAAATATCTTTGTAAAAATTGGTTGTAATTAGGGTTGTTAGATTCTTTCAAACAGAAAGTGGGAGAATTTATACAAAGATTATTTTAATTTTTCACACAATATATTGTGAAAATTGGTACATAAAATAAATCTTATTTATATTTTTAAGATTTAATACCAATAGTTATATTGTTAACTTTTGTTTTAAAATCGAGGTCTGGACAAGCAATGATATACTTCGGTCTCCAAATAATTATTGGGAATGTTTTATATTTCCATTATTAGAGGAATCAGTTAATAAAAATAATAAAATATTTCCCTTCAACTATAGACTGAAGTGTGTCTCTTCAAGCCTATGATACTCAAAACTATTTTTGAAGCTTTCATGCTTCTTATTTTATGTTTTTGGCCATTTTTGAAACAGGAAAGAGGGAAATAAGTTTGCAGTGAAATCTGTAGAAAAATAACTAAGCGATTTTATCATAAGATAGATGAATGTCGCTTCAGAAAATGAATTTAGAGTATTATCATCATATAAATTATTTTAAAGTTTGGTTTGATATGGTTTGACTCTTTATTTTTTAAATTGTATATATATTTTATAGAATGTTTTTTAACCATCACGGACTCCTACATGGCTGATATTAAATTTTGTTGTAAATTATACAAATTGGGTTTGAACTATTTTGTTTATCTTCTCTAATCCATGAACATAGTTGCCAGGTCAAAAATTGAGAATAATATTCTTATTAGTTTTAAAGTTTTAATTTCTACTTCTTTATAGTGGAGTTACTTTATTTATATAAAATAAATATTTGATCTAATAAAAGAGATAAATTTTATAAAATAATATCTTTATAATTACAAAAATATATTAATTCTATAAATAAACAAAGGATCTTTATTTGGTAACTGTTTCTCAAAATTATTATTTATAAATTAAAAACGTAAAATGGTGAAAATTTTAAAATAGCTTGAGCTATTTGCGAGATTTTCAATTGCGGTAGGGATCTCTGCGTGTTGACTAAAAAATTGCGGGGGGGAGGGGCGTTTCCAGCAGATAAGGAGGGAATGGCAGCCCTGTATGAAGAGTAAAATTCTAAATATTTGCGTATGCGTTTAAATTATTTTTGGTTCCTTAAATTCACTATTTTATATAAAATTTTAATTAATGGAATAAAGAAATATTAAACTAGGAAAATTTTATTTTATCAAAAATCATAAAGTGTACAAAACTGTAAATTTTTGCTTTAAATTACTGGTATTATTTTATATAGATTGGATTTTAATATATAAAATACTATTTCATTCTTATATGATTCATTTTCAGAATTAAAAGAAGTAATAAGAATGTGATTTATCATTATATTCCGTTTATATTATAAGATCTTAAATATTTTGTCCCTTCTTTTTAAAATGAAAAGGAGAATAAAATAACAATAAACAAGATGCCCTTGTGTAAAATTGAATTAAAATATAAATGGCAGTGCAAGTTTCTGGATAGACTAATTATTTCAAGCATTATATATTTTAAAATTTTATAATGAAATTTCGAGAAAGCCTACATTTATTTAATAAAAAAATAGAGAGAAAACGTAAAAAATCGGAGAAAGCTTAAATTAATAGAAGGAGTATGTATCTTTGCGTAAATAAGAGTTAAAGAGAGAAGTCTGGCAACCTTGATTATAATATTTTTTTAAAAAAGAGGAAAAAATAAATGTCAATATGTAGCAGAGAGTGTTGAAAGATAACTTGAAATCAGATGTGCTGTATAAATGCATTGTGTTATCGGATAGTGATTATTACTTGCGTAAAGTGTGGGAGGTATATAAATTTTTAGTTTAGATTGTGAATATTCCTGGTGATAATTAGCGAACCGTTCACTTTTGAGCTAGTGACGAATATTCCTGGTGAGTATTGGTGAATCATTAACTTTTGGCCTAGTTAATAAATATTACTGGTGATAAGCCTATATCGTTGAGGGAAGTGTAAATGCTTAACCGTCAGTGAAACTAGCTGGAAACCGATATGATGGATGACTACAGTTCATCAGTAAGTTGCAGGGACTATGGCTTGGATAAAATAATCAAATTGTTTGGACTGATGGGCAAAATCCGCAATAACTTAAACTTTATACTTAGTTACCCGCTTTTAAAAATCGGCTCAAATGGAGCGATTTTACATCACTACTATTATGCTATTAAATATATTATTTTGGAGAAAACCAGTTTATTTATTATTCATGTAAAATATATATTTTTTAAAATTATTTTGTTTAATATTTATTATATTTATAAATACTCTCCTAATTTTATATATCACGTGTAGATGCGTGATTCCTTTATCCCAAAAAACTATAAAAAGTAAAATTTTATAATTATAGTTGTTGTGGAATTTAAATTATTTATAAAAGTTTAATTTGTTTTAAGTTAAGTGCATAGTTATTATAAAATGTATAAATCTTTTTGTACAAAATGCCTTTTCGCCGTCTTAATGTCCAGTATTTTATTAAATTAGTAATTTTACCAGAAGAAATTCTAGACATTATTAAGGAATTACTTAGGAAAATTTTAAAATCATGATTGGAATGAGGATTTTTTAAATTATTAAAAATTTATTATTTATTCATTATTTTTTGAGGTCTATATAAGTGAACTCTTAAGAATATAACTTTTTTTTAAATCGACAAAAGGGCAAAATAAGTTGAATGCGCAATTTTTAAAATAAAATGATTTTCAGGTCATAATGATTTATTTCTTATTTAAAATGTAATAGCTGCAATAATTACCCCTCGTTTAATACAAGATTTTATCTGAAATATAAGAAATAACCATGTAAGGGAGACCGGGGATGGTTGGGACACTTTTCGTTCAAACCTTAATAATTTTAATATTAATAGACTAATCTGAATAATTAAAACATCTTCTGAATCCCAGAAGTATAGGCTATTTGAAATAATTAATATATATTTTATGAAGATTATATTTTTTTAGAAATATGAATTTAAAAAAAAATTTTTTTGTCCCAACTATGACAGACTCTGTGTTCGTTGGGACACACATATGTGATAGTTGGGACACTCGTGAAATAGAGGTCTAAATAAATTTAAAATCAGTAATCCAGTAAGACTAGAGACTATGACACATATGATTTTATTGATAATATTGTAATTCATAATCAACTATATAAAAAAAATTTTAGCAAAATTTAGGAAATTTATTTTGGGGAAAAAAAAATTGTAAAGAAAAAAATGTAAAAAATTTTTTTTTTAATCATAAACAGCAAAAATTTTTCATTATTCACAATACTAAATTAATAATAAAATAATGTTTATAAAATGAGCTAAAATGGCGTGTCCCAACTATACTATGACCAACTATGACCGAGCCCACTAACTTTATAAATATCATCTAAAATCATATTAATTCATGTTTATTGATTCTGAAAGTTTGCCAAATTGGAAAATAGGGTTTAGGCTTTCCTAAAATCTATTTATTATGATTTTTGAAGCTTTATTTATAAATATAAACGATAAAGTTTGCAAATATTTTTTATTACTTTTGGTATGCCAAAACACATTTTCTTCTATAAAAATTAAAATACTAAATATTTTTCAAATCTTTTTTAGCCAATCATGTATGACTAAATTATCTATGTTAGGCTCAAATTTCCAGTCTTATAAAATAATAAACGTTCCCCTGTACTCAATGTACCCCGGTCTCCCCTATAATATTAATAAGCCATTAAAGAGAGCTTCTGAAGGTCCACAAAATAGGGAGTTTAACCTTTTTGTTGTGTATTAAATAAAATATCCAAAATTTTTTTAAATCGAATTATTTGTATTTATGTTACGAATAATACTTCGAAATTAAAGAATTAAATACGAATATCTCTAGATTAGATTTTCTGAACATTATTTACATATTTATCATAAAAAATAAATTCAACGCACTTTAAATTTCATTCCTTATAAGATGCATAAAATACTAGAATTCATCTTGAATAATTATTTTATTTTGGACTACTTAAAATAAATTTTAGTGTACTATATATGTAAAATTGAGTCAAATATAAATAATCTTATTTTTATTTTATTTATTTAATATCATGTACTCGATAAGGATGGTGTAAAGTTTATTCTAGATATGGTAATCAGTTCGACCCTTAATACAATCTTATTCAATAAAGATATATAATGTAGGTATGGTTGACTGTGATATTTAATCGAATATTAGGAAATAAAATTCGAAGTAAAAAATGGTGGTCAATATTTTTAAATTTGATTCGGAAAACTTTTGAATATTACTCCATTTCTGTAAAACGTAATAAAAAATATTCTTCAAATGCCATCCAATAATGGGAGATGACAACGATTACAACTTGTTTCTATTCTAATAATTCATACCCAACCTTTTCCACCCATATTTAATCAATAAAAGAAAAAATTAAATACAAGATATAGTGGATTTGAAAAGTGACAAACAAATAAAATATTTAAGAGTTATTTAGAGACTCAATGTGGGAAAACATCAGTGTTGTTAAACGCTACTTTTAAAAGTAGCGCGCTATCGCTACCGCTATCGTTTTGAAATGAGTAGCGCCTACTACTTTTTACGCTACTTTGATTTTTTTTTTAAATATTTTTTTTTACGTAACTTTATTTCCACAAATAAAATATTGATATAAAAACATGACTATAATTTGTTACATATATATATATTTATTTATTATTGCACTTTAATAATAATAACATTTCGGTACTGTCATCCCCAAGTCTAGAGCGACGATTAGAAAGTATAAGCTTTGCCATACTAAATAATCGTTCAGCACTAGCACTTGAGGGCAACGCAGTATTAAATTTAATAAACAAACTATTTATATGAAAAAAATCATCAAAAATATTTAAATTAGTATTTTTAGATTTAAAAAAAGCATTTAGAGGTTAATTAAAAATACTTCAGTATATTCTTTAATAAAGGTATGCTACTCCACATTAAAATACTGTATTTCCATTTGATCCAATATATAATTCATTTCCATTTTTTTCTCATCTAGAAACAATGCTAAAAATTTCATAGCATTGTAAACACTATTCCATCTTGTAGTGTTTGGTGTCAATAAATAACGTCCTAATTTTTTTTTTGAAAATATCAGACGTCTTTGATGACTTATTTTGTTTATTCCAAAGAGCTTGGCATTTAGAAAATGTAGATCTTGATACTCTTTTAAAATCCTCTTTAATAATGCTTCTTCAGCATCCACTGTCGCAACTAAATTTAGGTAGGTTGTGGCAGGAAGAACGATGATGGCTAGGTAACGTAGAAGACTTTATTGAAGATCCTAAATATTATAAATTTTATTTTATATTGGTGAAAAATTAAATATAAAATAATTTAAAACCAAGGATGTCATGAACATCAATTATCTCAAACTCCATTTCATCATCCTCTTCTTGTTCTCCATCTTCAATATTTTTTTCAGGAATATTACTAGTATTGTTATTATTATTATCCTCCCCAAATATTCCATATTATTTATATCATATTATAAAAAAATTATAATAAATTTAAAACCTGAAGGCCTTTAGGAAATTAGACCCATTATCCGTAATCAACTTACAAACCTTGTTTTGAATTTTGTAAGACCTATGGATTTCTGCAATAATATTGGCTAGAATGTCATAAGTCTGACAGCCAATTATTCTCTTTAGAGCTTACAGATTTTCGTTTAAGATTTTTAGGATCAATTCAATGTGCAGAGCTCTAAAAATATGACATATTATAAATCAGAAAATAAACATTTTTACCTTTTATTGTGAGTCCAGCAATCTGCCATTGTACAGACGTAGGAGACATCTGATAGATTTAATATCAAAGATTCTTTCATTTCCTTAAAGCTCTCCAAAATTCTTGCCATCAATGTCTGCCGGCAAAATATCTTGGTCCGTGGAGAAAAAGTGTTTGTCATCTTTATAAAAGAATCATTATCCACCAAGGATAATGGTTAAACTGTATCTATTATAAAGTTTATAATGACTTTGTCAGCCAATTTTTGGGATACACCAGGTGTTGATGAATCCAAATTGGTTAATTTTGTTTGTATTAAATTTGATTTGGAAGTGGGTTTATCTTCTTCCATTACCCCAAAACTTTTGAGATATTTTTCAATCTCTTAATAATTTGAAGTGTGCACAGTCTAAAATTATAAAATACTTAGAATAAAAATTATGTAGGATATAAGTACATAAAAATGATTGAAATAACTATTTTAAAATGTTTTAAATAATTTAGATAAAATTTATGAATATATAAAAAAAATAATTGGTTTTTGATTTTAATTTATTTTAAAAATTAAAGATTAGCCTACACATTGATATTAAATTTGTTTAATATATTACCTTTAAATGTTTTTCCAAACTAAAGCTGCTCGTATGATTTGAAGAGATAAATTTGCAGCACATCTTGCACCGAAACCGATATCCAGTTATAATTTTTTCTTCAAGGTTAAAGTATTTCTTGAATTTTGGGAAAGGATCATCTATATTTTGCTCATTTTCCAAAGAAATTTCAATATCTTCAACAATCTCACACATAACAAGATTTATAATGCTTAATATAAAATGTTAAATGAAATATAAAATAAGATAAAAGCAAGGACATACCAATAACGGAATTTCAAAAATATATAATTTAATGAATGCGCGAAATATAAATTAAATACAGATTGCTATTTAACAACTGTTTATATCTAATATATAAAAATAATGTATATTTTTAAATATAAATATAAATTTCAAAATTAAATTAAATAAAAGGATTATAAATTTAGATTTTATAAAAAATATATTTTAATAATTTTTAGATGTATTTATTATGTAAAACTAAATTAGTAGCGAGCTACCGCTATCGCTATTTTTTTAAAAAAGTAGCGCGCTATAGCTACCGCTACTGAAAAAAGTAGCGCGCTATAGCTACCGCTGTAGCGCGCTATTTTAACAACACTGGAAAATATTAATGCGGGAAGATATGCCTACCATTATATATTTTTTTGTATGTAGTTATACAATACCTAATTTCATAATATTGGCTTTATGCACAGCTGTGACTTTTTTACGTCCATATTTGACAGCGAAATCAAAAGCGAATTTAGCTATTCTTTTGGATTTAGCTCTCGTTATAATTTTCATACTTTCAACGACTCCTGAAATACTCTAAATAACATTTATATGTTTTAATAATGATCAATTAAATCTAACATTAATTTTAAAATTTGTTAACAAATTATTAATGTAAAAACTTCGTGTTCTAAAGCACTATATTCACCCTCAGTTTGTTCACGAATAATTATAAAATCTAGATCGTCGTGCCTAGTCTTTAAACCAGGAATACTGGATATCCAAACTACGTTAGCGAACAAATCTAAAGATTTTCTATATGAAAATATTTATTCATTATTGCAATAATATCAACATTTTATAAATTCCACCTCATTCGCATATTAAGTGTTTGCATATCGTCTAAATACATTCCTTGAGCTGACCTTATATTACCTTTAAGAGCTACGCCATTTCGTGATATGGATTCGATAACATCGTCAAACGACACACTCATTGAAGGGTTGATTTCACTAAAAAATGAAATATAATAAGAATGCAATTTCAAATCTTTATAGAGAAAAATAAATATTTGACAGATTTTTGTGATGAGCAAAATTTTTATACTTGCGTATTATTCTGGATAAAATATTTAGGAGCCGTTATTAAAAATCAAGCACTACCTTTGAAAATAAATTGAATAGAATTGTTAGCCCTTCTTAATATACATAGGGAGTTGACACCAATCACTAATGATGTCATTAAAAATTTGCTCAATCCCAAAAAAAAAATTTCATTTCTCATTACACAATATTTTTTTCATGAATAGAGGAGACTGAGGTTAGTCGAATCAATTTTTACATAATTGGCTATAGCTCCTGGATTTTTTTAGATAATATAAAAAATAATATAGGATTTGATACCTAAAACTATATTTTATAAAGGTACCTTATAAAAAATTTTAAGAATATAATCATTTTTTAATTTCATTTTTTGTAAAAGTGAAAATTTTGTCCAACAACCCCCAATAGCGGGGTTAAGCAAACCACTTCAAGAGGTTTCCTAAACTTTTGGGTTTTTTTAGGCCATTGGAATGTATTTTTATTTATTAATAATGATACGTATATATTGTTCAAAATATCATAATACATAAATTGAAGCTAATTATATTTAAAATTGAAACTTAATTTTGGTTAATTTAATAAACATTTTGAACATATAAAAATAAGGATCTTAAGGAGAGATTATGATTTCTTAGCATAAATCCTAAATACCCAATCATAAACAGCCATGAAATTGCCTTTTCAAGATTTTGAAATTTTTTTCATTATTAAATGCCATAATTGACGTGTATGGTTTTAGAAAGCCTCGCTAGCTCTAAATTGACAAATCATGATTGAAATTATATCTAAATTTAATAAATACTCATAAAACTTTCCCAAATTATAAAAGAGTGTTTAAACCTTGCTATAAACTTAAAATTACACATAAATGATTATATATTTTAATAAAAATTAAAATTCTGTCATGTAAAAATATTTTAAAAAATTTCAAAAGATTTTTTGTCTATAGATGTATGTATAATAAAAACTATATTAGGATAAAATTTTAACCTTCTGGTGTATTTAATTTTAAAATGAGAATAAGTGGTTTGCTAAGCCCCGGGCTAACCTCAGTCTCTATTGTAGGTAGTGTTGTTAAACGGCTCGATTTGAGCTGATTTTTACTCGAGACTTGGCTAAGAGATATCTAAATCTTTGTGCCAACTATGAGAGAAATCTTCAGGCTTGTATAATATTTTCCTGAATAAAATATTAAGTTAGCAGTTTTAAATCGGCTAAATCGAGCCGTTTAATATGCAATAATTCTTAAAATTATTTTTGTGCATATCTATATTTGACCGGAAAAGAAAATTTTTTTTAATTTATATATCAAATCTTAAATGCATAAAAAAATTACATTTTTTCCAAAAGTAGTTCTGTTTCGAGACATTTTATTTTAAGCTATAATCTAAATATATTTTAAAACCTCAAAATTTAAAAATTTTCGTAAATTTAGAAATTTAAAATTCCTAACAAATTATTTTTATACTATCCATTGAATTTAAATACTTTTTATTTTGATTAATTTGATTGTCCATTTCTTATTATAATTTGTATAATTAAATCAATGTTACTTACTCATTTTTTCATAAAAATTTCAAACTTATAAACTTTAAGCCAAAATTTATTAAATTTCTATAATTTTAAAAAATTAATAAATTTTCGTAAATTCAAAAATTGATTTAAACCATTATTTTATTTTACATTAAAAGTAGCTTATTTATCTTTTGCCGCTAAATTAATAAATTTAATTTATACTATTTTTGATATTTAGATTACAGACTTTAGTTATTCATACGATACGCCGATATACATTTAATATTTATCATTAATTTATATTTGATATTAGAAGTTGTCAATATTTTATAGTCACGTCCTAATAAATTTATGAAACTTAAGATATTCTTAAATAACTCCCAGAATAATTCTAAAATTTTAATTATCCCCCCCCCCATAGCGAATTCCTGCGTGCGCGCCTGCATCTAAATGATATTTCGAATGTTTTATTTCAAATTAATGGGCCTCTTTACGGACTTCTTTTACACTAATAATAATAATGAGATGACAATTAATTATACAAGGTAATTTATTTATATAATAATATTAACAATTAAGGTATTTAGACAATGTAAATTAATCCACTAATTTGCTCATCCCTAAATCTATTACATATATTTTCACTGCCTTTTTATCACTCTATCTGAAATGGAATAATTTGTTTTCTTAGTCGTTCTGGATAATGAAACGTACATTCGTTTTCTATTGTAGATAGATTCGGAGTATCGATTTCTGTTTTTTCGGTTATTGTAATTTCGCAAGTTCTTTAGCTATTATTGAGGTTCGGGTAGGAATAATTTCATCGCTTTGATATGATTCTATTGATGATATGTTTTGCATTGGCATGATTTCATCGTTTTGATTATAGTCTATTGACAGTATGTTTTGCGGTTTCCGTCTACTTCTTCAATCAAATGTATTTTTTCTCCAATTTGTTTTACCTAAAAATGTCATTGGCCGTGTTCTTTTAACAATGAGACCTGGTAATTATCTTTTTTTTTAAATTTTTTGCGTATATTTTCTCACTTATATTCTAAACACCTAGTAATTGAGGTATGTATGGATGAAGATAAATAGGTTTTGGTAATTGTAGTAGACCTATTGGTTGAAATTTAAACATAATTGACCTTAGAAATTGTTTAATCGTGTTGCGGAGTATTACGATAATTAAAAAGAAAATCTTGTATACTATCATACTCATGTTTTTATAAAAAAAAATTATTAATTTTTGATTAATAATTGTTTGCAAAAATTATAGAATTATCGATTTTGGAATTCGTAGAGGTATCCAAAAATAATAAAAAGCATTAATTTTCTTATTTCCGTAAAATTATATACAGAAAAATTTTGTTATTTCTAGCCACTTAATAAAACTATCTATTATCACTAAATATATCTTTCCATTTATAGGTGCTGCAAAATTTAAATGAATTCTCCCTTCATTTTCCAATCGTTTTACCACTGAGGTTATGTATTTGATATAATTCTAACTTATAATTCGATATCTTCAATATTAGGCCACCAAATATTATCTTAGACAAACGATTTTGTTTTAGTCATTCCTTAGTGACCCATAGGTGAGGATAAAATATTCACTTTTTTAAGAATTATGGTTATTAATCCCCATAATATACATCCTGCCTCTATTGTATTCATTTCTCGATGAAAAAATGGTTTAATATTTTTATCTATTACTTTCGGCCAACCATCTGTTATGTGGTAAAAAATTTGCTATATTGGGTCCTTTCTTGTTTGTTTTTATATATAACTAAAGCCAAGACAAATTGTGGGGAATTCGCTACTATTAAATTAATATCTAGTTCCTCCAAAATTTTCTGTCGATTGGAAAACTAGAAAGTATATCCACATTGCTAAGATTTTTAGTACTTCGAAGTTGTAATTCCTAATCGGCATTTGCTAGTTGTAAGGGTCATCTTAGTAATCGTGGTGACGTCTATGTAGGCTAAGTAACGGTTTATGATCAATTATTATTTAACAATAAGATATTGTTTAAATTAATTAATCCAAATATTATTGCCAAGGCCTCACGCTCTATCTGACTAATTTCGTTCGGTTACATTTAATATGCGAGAAGCGAATCCAATAGTTTTTTATATTATTAATCATACGGGACAGAACTGATCCTATTCCATGTTAAGATGCGTCAGTAGCTAGAATTATCGGTATTTCATAATTATAATAGGTCAGCGTGATATTAAATTTTTTAAAATTTATTTGTTTCAATATCTGTCCATTTCCTTATTTTTTCTTAACAGTGAATATAACGGTGTGGCAAAGGTGGAAAAATTGTTCATAAATTTTTAATATAATTAATGATACCAATAAAATATTGTAATTTTAATGTTCTTTGGTAATAATACGTCTAAGATTGCATTGACATTCTAATTCGTTGAAGTGTTGAGCACTGTTATAAGTATTTTTATGGATCTCGATTAATTTTTCATTAATTATTATATCGTCTAAATATACCGCCACGGGTAGTCCTTTTAATAATAAATTCTGGATTAGCATGTCGGTCAATTAACCGGTCAAAAATATTAATGGCGAATATATTTTATATAATTTACTAGTAGTATAGGGTTGTCATGTCTCCCCCCTCAATTATTTAGTTTACACGCAGACATCTCTCTCCGCAAAACTACCGCAATTGGAAATCTTCCGTAAAAATCTAACGCAATTTTTTTTTATAGTATAACGTTTTTAATATATAAATAATAATTTTGAGAGACATTAATTGATTATTTTTATATTTTTAAAATAAATTTTAAATATTTATTCGAAAAACATCTCTAGTTTGTAAATTTCTTTCTATCCTATTTTATTTTTATCCAATAATAAACAACATTATTTCATTCATATAAGTCAGTAAGGGGAGTATATCAACATATATTGCAATACAAAAATATTCTCAAAAATAATAAATAACACAGATGCAACTACATTTGCGGAAATCATATACAATTATCATGTATTTCAACATTCACAGAGTTTCACAATTGGGTCGAATCTTTTTCTCATGATATTTAACGACTCCAATATAGTGCAAACCTTACTTGTGGCAGAACAAAAATGAGCAAGGCTATCCACAAGTGTTTTAGTACCTGAATCCTAGAGGTCAATTCTAGGCGATTTGAAAGATGGGCATCCATATGCAATTCTAACAGATGCATCTAATAAGGGAAATATTAAAACATTTCCCTCGATCCTTCGCTATTTCAACAAAAATAAGAACATTTCAATAAAACTGTTAAAAATTTTTCCTCGGATAGTGAAAAATCCAACGATGTAGCTAGCCACATAATGGTAATTATAGCTGATTCAGGGCTATCATTGCATGTCAGCTTTCTGCGCTG